AGAACAGGTTACAAATCTGCTGCACAGGTGCTGGTGCCAGTGCCGAGTACTGGGCTAGGTAGTCAGGGTTGCTGGTGCGATGCTGGTCTCGCTAGTGACTGCTCCTGATGCTCAGAAAGGGTGATGCAGGCACCTGCGTTGGGCGCAGGCAAACGCTTCTCCTGCTGCCTTTCACCACAGCCATGCTTTCCCGGTGCAGGTGGCTGGCCATCCGTCTGGAGTTCGTTGGGAGCCTCGTGGTTTTATTTTCTGCGCTTCTAGCCGTGATCTCCAAGGGCTCTTTGGAGGGCGGCATTGTGGGTCTGTCCATCTCCTCCGCCCTCAATGTAAGTCAGCCAAAGCTTTCCTTGTAGGGGGGATGGCTGGGAGCAGCACCCAGATGGCTCTGGGCTGCTTGCATCCTGCTGCACCCTGCTCTGAAACAGAGCGTGGGCACCAGCCGGGATGGTGCCTTGTGGGGAAGGGATCACCTGGGAAGCTGGTATGGAGCAGGGGAGGAGAACTCTGCCTCTGGGCCTCGGATGCTGCCCAAAAGCTTTCCAAGGGGTGAGGAAAGGGGGAGCCCTTTTATGTCAAGGATGCTCCTGGCCAGGTGGGGTCCTTGAGCTGAGGGAGGAGAGCTCTTTCTCCAGGGTGTCACTGAGCTCTGCATCCTCTGCACTCTGCCCACAGGTGACCCAGACACTGAACTGGCTGGTGCGGATGTCGTCAGAGCTGGAAACGAACATTGTGGCCGTGGAGCGGATCCACGAATACACGATAGTGAAAAATGAGGTGACGAGATCATAGTTGAAGCACAGCTGCTGCCCAGCTCGGTGCTAGCCAGCACTGCAGGGCGCAGCCCCCTAATGCTCTTGTGCCCCCAGGCTCCATGGGTGACAGAGAAGCGCCCACCCCGTGGCTGGCCCAGCAAAGGTGAGATCCAGTTCATCGACTATAAAGTTCGTTACCGACCTGAGCTGGAGCTGGTTCTTCAGGGGATCACCTGCGATATCAAGAGCACAGAGAAGGTGAGCTGCCCTTGCAACACCCCCTCCCTGGCAGCACTGTCTTAAAGGTGTTCCTGTTTTCTTAGCTTCTGGCTGCAGGAGAGCCCTTGCCCTGTTTTCTTCAGCTCTTGCAGCTGGTCTAAATAGCTTCTTCCACAGGTCGGAGTTGTGGGCCGGACCGGGGCAGGGAAATCCTCCCTCACCAACTGCCTCTTCCGAGTGCTGGAAGCTGCTGGTGGGACAATCGTCATCGATGGCTTGGATATTTCCACGATCGGCCTCCACGACCTGCGGCAGAATCTCACAATCATCCCCCAGGTGAGCTAGGGAAGATGTCCCTCTGCTCTACGGGCTCCCCAGGCTGTTTATTGCGGCCAAACACGGGAGCACGTGGCAGCTGTGGGGCAGAGCGGGGCTCCCCTGCTGAGTGGCCGTGATCTTCATGGAGGAACACACTGTGCTCTCTCTGGCAGGACCCCGTGCTCTTCTCTGGGACCCTGCGGATGAACCTGGATCCCTTTGACCAGTACTCAGATGAGGAGGTCTGGAAGGCCCTGGAGCTGGCCCACCTGAAGCCGTATGCGCAAGAGCTGCCTGAGAGGCTGCTGCATCGTGTGAGTGAAGGAGGAGAAAACCTGAGGTGAGCAGAGCAGCGGGGCATGCCCAGCTTACATCCCTTCCGCTGGCCCCAGGAAAAAGGCTAAACTGGCCAGGGTGGGGAGAGGTGCCTCAGAGCAGCTTAATCAGAGACAAGCACAGAAGCTTTTGGGCTGAATGTGGATGAAAAAAAATTGTCTGGGAGTCAGGACTGGTCGTCATGGCAGGGGGAGCCAACCTTCCACTGGGGACCCAGGAGCAGGACCCAGGGAGGTGGTGTTTGGGGTGGCAAATCATGAATTGAGGTTGGAGGGGCAGACGCACAGCCAGGGTAGCGTGTGGGGGCTGAGCCTGCAGGCACCCTGCTCTGGTGTCAGCACCTCCTTCACTCACGTTCCCCACCTCGCTGCAGTGTGGGGCAGAGGCAGCTCGTGTGCCTGGCCCGGGCCCTTCTCCGCAAAGCCAAGATCCTCATCCTGGATGAAGCAACAGCAGCTGTGGATCTAGAAACGGATCATCTAATCCAGATGACGATCCGGAGGGAGTTTGCTGACTGCACTGTCCTCACCATCGCCCACCGCCTCCACACCATCATGGACAGCAGCAGGTAGTGTGGGGCAAGCGGTAAATGGGCCTCTGCACTCCTGGGATGGGGCAAGAGGTGGCTGACACCAGAGGCAAGGACACACCAGAGGGCAGGGCTGGGTGCGGTGCCAAGGAAAACAACATGCCGAGCTGCCGGGGGAGAATAGAAGAGGGGAAGGGTGGCCATGCGTTGCCTATGCCTTTGTGGGGATAAACATTCTTGGGAACCTGCCTCTTAATCAGCAAAAAGCCACAGAGTATTTATTGACAGTCTTGGCTGGGAGCTGATGAGCCTGGGCCCTCCTTGTTCTCTGGGGTGAGATGCATGTAGCGTAGTTGTAGGAGCGAGAGCAGAGGCAGGGCTGGTGCTGCCGATCCCGGGAGCTCACGCATCCTCAATCCCTTCTGCCAGGGTGATGGTGCTGCAGGCGGGAAGGATCATGGAATATGACAGCCCCGAAGAGCTGCTGCAGAAACAGGGCATCTTCTCTGCGATGGCGAAGGATGCCGGCATTCTGAGCACACAAACCACCGTCCTGTAGCCGGTGGGGAGCAGCGCGCGGTCACTCGGCTCCCTCCCGCTGGGACCCGCTGAGGAGGAGCCCGGGCTCCCTGCAGCATTTGTCTCTGCAGCGGGGAAGCACAGGGCAGGGCACAGCTTCCCTGGCTGGCAGGGACAGACCCTGCGGGCCTGGGTGAGCAGTGAGCCTTGCTCCTACGCTGCCTGCTGTGCACAAGGGCCTGCAGCCACCAGTTAATTTATTTCGACACCAAGGGGAAAGTTGTGCGTTAGATGGCGAGACTATAGCCTCCTTGGGATCTTAGTTTTTGCACCATGTTCGAGGAACCTCACTAAGAGATACTGTAGTGCTAAAGAATGAAATTCACAGGGTAATCTAGGAGTGAATGTTAACATTTATTTGCTTTTTGTAAATGTTTCTAGTCTTCAAACTAAAAGCCTGACTTTAGGCATGCTAAATAAGCTTCAGTTTAACTTCACAACCTGAGCAGCACTTGGGGGAATGCAGTACACCGAGCTTGTGCAGATGCACAGGGCACGAGCAGCTCGGAGCCTCTGCTGCCTGTGTGGCCCTGGGTGCCCCACAGCCACGCTCCCTCCCTGCATGGTCCCACGGAAAACAGAAGAACCCTTGGGTCACTGGGGACACGAGGGGAGCTCCAAACCCCCACCCTGCAGGCACAGATGGCAACTTTCTTACATGCAACAAAGAACCCACCCCACTCACACTATCATGCCAGCAAAAATACTCATAGGGCTGCAAGGTGGGGGCTAAGCTGTTTGCTGGCAGTGGAGGTGAAGGAGCCAGGGGTTGGGCCTCCCTCTTTTCTTCATGGCTGCATCTGCCTTTCATTGTACTGCAGATAACCAAGGCAGTCCCTGGGGCCCAATTCTCTCCCCTGTAACCACAACTTGGGCAGAGTCTGAGCCGTGATGCCAGACCACAAACCTGGCTGGCAGACGAGCTGGGGAGAGACGCATGCACACACACACATGCTACACCAGTGTGGATGTGTGCACACATACACATACACACATATCGGTTTCTGCTGACACACTCCTGGTCCATCCTTCTCTGCCCTGGGTCTCCAAGCAGGCAGGAGACGCCTGTGCTCACACACACCACTCCCCACACAGGCATTTACAGCACAGCAAAACCCTTCACTTCAGATGGTGGCAGGAGGGACACGCGCCTCTTACGGCCCCAGCCACAGCCTTTAACAGAGCCTGGGGGCTCTGGGATGTGCAGCACATCCACGATTAGTTTGGTGAGGGTGCGAGAGCAGAAGTGTGCAGGACCCATAGAAAGGCTCGCGCCCTTCCCAGGCCCTGCAGGCTCTGCCAGGGCTCCCTTCCCCTTTTCCTGAGGCTTGCACAGGCACATCCTATACACAAGGGCAAAACTTTATTTACAGAGCAGCAGTACAGAGGGTACAAACACTTTTGCCCTCACAAGGAGGGAGCATGCCACCCCCCACGGCATCACAGCAGAGGGCATGGGGCAGCGCATCTCTCCCAGAACGTAGGCGCCAGGGCCGGAGCCCTGCTGCAAGCGTGGGCACGACTAAGTCCCGCTCCAAGCTTGAGAGGTATCAGGCTGCAGGACAGGGCCTGCTCTTTGTCTTCTGCCCTGTCCCGGAGTTTCCCTGGAAACGATGCAGTGCTAAGGAAGATGGTGTTGGGGCCTTCGGCTCACCAGGGAGACAGGAATGCGACGGCTGCTGCTACCAGCAGAGCTGGGAGAGGCTCCAGGCCCAGAGAGCCCAAGGAGGCAAACATGACATGGTGGGGAGGGCTCTGCTCTGGGCTGCTGGGTCCTGGAGCTGAGCTACTCACTGCACTCCTCCGAGCAACTGCTCTGGGCAGAGCAGACATGTCCCACCCTGATGTCCTACACAGACAGGCTCAACCCGGCTCCTGCTGCTGAGACGGCCACAGGGGCTCTGTTCACAGGGCCCAGATTTCTTTTAACATTTATTTGGCTTTGACTCTGGAAACTCAGAAACAGGCTTCCACGCCTTAAATCCCGATCAGCTCTTCAGCCTCAGTGAAGCTATTTCCTCTTGGACCGTAGCCCCCACGCTATGTTCACCTGCTACCAGCTGGACCCAGCAAGCAGCCCAGGGTGAAGGCTACTTGCCCCTGCCCTTGCCAGCCCTTCTTCCCACTCCCTGTGGCAGCCAGAGCAGCAGGGCTGGGGAGCACCGTGCAGCAGCCAGGGAGGCAGCCTCGGCCCCTCGGTGCGAGCAGGGCAGGCTGAGGCACCCTGCAGGGCTGGCCAGTCTCCCTGCACCCCTGCTGCACCAGCAGGAACAAGGCACAGGGTGCAGGCTCCTGCCCTTACGTGTACTCTGTCTTTCTGATGTAGCTGGAGGGCACGTAGCCCTGTTTCCCGTGTGCCTCGGCCAGCCACCACTCTCGATTGCCTGTGATGTCCTCAAACTGCAGGATCCTGAGTCTCTGGTTAGCTGACACACTCAGTTCATTGGCGTTTCGGCCTCTGAAAGTGTAGAGCGCGTAGTAGACCTGTTGGGCAGAGGGACACCATGAGTCAGACGGCCAGTGCAGCTCAAGGCACTCGGCAGGGCCCCCCTGCCACACCACAAGACACATGGGCAGTACTGCCCCAGCAGGGACAGCCTCAACCTCTCCATCATGTCCTCTATCAGTGCCAGCCCAAACTGTCCACTAACAGCCTAATTTTTTGTATCTGCATATCCATTCCTAGGAGAAACAGTGCAACCCTCTGCCTTCGGACACTTCATTGCCTCCTACCAATAGCTCTCAGGGAGGAAGATGGTTCAGCCCCCACTCAAGCGTGGGGTTCAGCCTTCGGCCACCCCATAGCTCCCTGTTCAGTTGAAGGCTCACCTGGTTGCCCTCTGACTCGCTGCTCTCCAGCCCAGAGTCTCTGTCCTCCACAGAGAGCGCAGGCCTGAGATGCGCTTTGGTGGGGTGTCCGTTGCGAGGGCTGGGGCTGCCGCCTGGCTCAGGGCGGCTGTGGCGGCGCTGAGATGACACTGTACCGGCTTCCAGCGGCGCCATCCTGTCACTGGAGCCAAGCTGGGGCTGGCAAGGCGAGTCCATCTCCGAGGGGGACTGTGGGGACTGGTACGGGTCTGCCGGGGAGGCAGAGTCCTGCTGGGATTTCTGAGTGAAGGTCACGGCTGCCCCGCTGGGGCTGAAGGTCAGCGTGGTGGTGCTGTGGGGAGAGGAGCTGCTGTGCTCGGACTCGTTGGAAGAGTGGCTGCCCACGGAGACGTCCGACTGGCTGCGGCGTGGGTTGTAGGGCTTCAGAAAGGAGCTGTACACAAAGCCTTTGGTCACTGTGGAGAGGGAGAGGGAGCTGAGATCAGGGAGCAGAAGAGACCTCAGGAAGAGAGGCACAGTAGGGCCAGAGCTTCCAGCTCCCGGCCGAGGCAGGGAGGGTCCTGCCCGCGGGGCTGGCAGGCCAGGGCCACCTACCCCCATTGTCTATGAGCCAGCGATTCTGGCTGCCCATTGGGTCTTTCTTCTTGATGACACCCACGATGTCTCCCTCCAGCAGCGAGACATCCAGGTCTTGGGCAGCATTGAAATTGCGGTCTGCCTGGAAGAGACTGTCCGGGGGATACCGGGCCAGGAGAGCAGCTCGGATGTCATCTGACTGCAGGAGGTAGCTGGGCTGAAGGGGAACAAGGCACTTGTGAGGGGCTGTCCCATCTCACCTGC